CTGTCTAAAGAGCTCTTAAAGTCTCCACACAAACGTTTGTGATCAGTTGAAATGTGAAATTGTGTTCAAATTAGCATAAGTTTGCAATATTTCACAGATGAATACACCGCCAAGAGTTCACGACTAAAGGTGCTATATCTCTGCTCTATTGGCGTGAGTTTGCGGGAGTAGAAAGCGAGAAACTGAATAGCTTCATCAACAACCTGATAAAGTGCACCACCCACAGCCCGGTCGGGGGTGTCGGCCACGAGGCGAAGAGCAGCGTCTGAATCTAGATGTGCCAAGATGGTCACTTCGGCGAGGACTGATTTAATGTTTTTCGAAAATGTGCTGCTCATCTTCAGATAAAAAGACGTTCTTTTTTGGGGTTTTTAGATACTCCTCTAAACGATTTAGCGTGTATGCACAGTTGGAAATGAAGAGACGGTAAAAATTTGCCATTCTGAGGAAACTTCTTAAAGCCTTGACGGTGCATGGAAGTGGAAAATATTTGATGCTGAAGGCCCTCTGTCTACATGGTAGCATGCCGTAAGCATCAATACAATGTCCGAGGAAAGTCAAGAAATCGACACCAAAAACACTTTTTTCAGAGGAAATCACTAGATGGCGGTGAGGTAGTCTTTCAAACAGTGAAATCAAATGCTGTTTGTGCTATTCCATATTGCCACTAGCAACTAGTTTATTGTCAATGTAGACTAAAACTCCCTTTAGACCACGAGTAACTTGATCAATTAGTGTTTGAAACGTCTGTGTGGCGTTTCTAAGCCCCAAAGGCATCTTGTTAAATTCAAACAAACCGAAAGGGGTGATGACAACCCTCTTGTCTATATGATCTAGTTTCACAAGAATATGAAAACCGGCAGTTTTTACGTCAACTTTGGAGAAAATGTTTCTGCCTTTTAGAACTAAGGCAACGTCCATAACACGTGGCAGAGGATATCTGTCTGGAACCGTTACAGCAATGAGCCTTCTAAAATCACCACATGGTCTATGAAAAATACTATACAGGTAAACAGAGTGACTTATCCCCTAAGCAACATTAAATAGACATTCTGAGCCTACTAAATATAACTATTTACGCAAAAAATTAAAAATTATACTGATCAAGTTAGCTATAAACAATACGCCGTTTAAAAAAGAGCTTTATCAACCCTAGGTCACTTATGGTAATGAATTTTTCCACAATGAGACGAGTCGGCCTCACAATACAATTTGATTGCACTTAGCCTTGCTTCCAAAGGGTATTCTTGCATCAGGGATGTACTGCAATTTCGACTTTGCAATTCCATCGGGAATCGAACCTTGGCAGTGCAGCGTACAATTTCGGTTGCAGATAATAAGCAAATTTTTAAGCAAGCGAGGCCTTTCTCATATCATATTATTATAATGGGATTGTTGCTGAAGCAGACATGTATTTCCCATTACACTTAATAAGGCTATTTATATTCGAATTAAGTGAGATTTTAAGATTATCAGTAGAACATGAATAAGACCTTTAGTCGCCCTAGATCACTTAAGATTATGAAGCACTGATAGCGAATTTTCCCACAATGAGATAAGTAAGCTTCACGATGCAATTCGCTTTCGCTTAACCTTGTTTCCAAAAGATATTCTCATCCAGGATGGGGCAGTTTTGACCTCGATTAGGTCTACCAGATGAGATGAATAAATTTACAATGAAGTTAGAAATGTGGGGCAAACTACCGTTCTTGGAGGCCCTCGTTAGTAAAGAATTTAAGTCCTGAAGATATAATTTAAGATAACCCCAATTGCGAATGCCACACTTAATTACGTATCCAATCCTACCTATCGGCTAAAAGCAGGGCTTATGAAATCCATGCTATTAAGACAGCTGAGGCTATCAGACGAGGATAGACGGACGAGGAAATAAGACGCCACGCTTCTACGACTGCCAATGGACCGTCGGGCAGTCAAGAATTTCAAGGCAAGCCAGGTCTCTCCCTAATCACATATATACTGGGACTGTCGATGGGGCTAACTTGTATTTTACTATTACTATCCTCTACGTCACTTATATTCATGATAAGCTTGTAGGTAGGATAAACGCAACGGTAGTGTTAGGCCTACTTGTCTTATTGTTAGAAAATTCATTTATCCGTCCTTTATCACTATACGCGTCCTAGTATGATTATAATTCTTATTTATGCACTCCAACTTTGGCTAGAATACAAAAAGATTGCTCAAAATTTCCCCGTATTCCATCATGACTTTCCCTTTTCAGGTATCGTGCAGTGGTTGATCACTTTGAGTATCTGGGAGAAGTGCTTTCTCGATCGTCTGCGTAACTTTGCTGATCTCTGCTGCTTAGCCAACGTGTCAGTGTTTATACTTTCGCAAGCAAATTTTGGCTTCTATATCCATGGTCACTCGCCGATTGGCCGAGCCGATATTAGCCTTGCTGGGATCGTCGCCACTCTGGCAGCTGAGCAACGAGGCTTGACTGCGCGTAGGGGCCTGCAACCAGAGACGGACGAGCACACATATCGGATGGCACTTCCAGCGGGAGTTCGACAGGCATTCAACCGACTACTTTCACCAATCACGGAGGCTACAGGCTCTGCTGGAGCTGGGGTTGGATCCGCACCTGCAACAAGTGGTGGTGGAGTTGCTGGAACTATGGGGCTTGGGCAGCCAACAACAATTGGTCACGTCTACCATTGGAGCCTGCTGCACGAGACATATCGATCAGTCAACAGGTTTCTCATGCGCTTTATCTCTAGAGTAGGTGCTTATCTCGGATAGTTAATGTATTTTACACCTTATTCATTTTAAGGCTTTCTGTAACCTCTTAAATATCTCAAATAACCTGCATTTTCCAACTGTAGGCTATTGATTTTTTTAATGTGAGAAAATCTCTCATTGATATGATATACCAGAAAATTTCATCCTTAGAACTGGATGAAGTCCTTTACTTAACAAAGATACATTCTGATATGAAGAGCAAGATGTTGTGGCTGTTGGTCGCAGTCACCTTTCGTTTTTCAATTTAGTCGTGTTGTCGGGGTGACTTTATTGGACGCAACTATTCCGTAGTCCTCTGCTATAGTAGTTATCATAATTCTCAGTGTCGGACCGTGGACTTGGTACATTCGCAGACGTTTCGCCTGCATCGTAGTAGGCACTCTCAGTGAGTCTTGCCAGTCTTAGCCCCAAGCTACGACTCGTCAAGTGAAGTCAAACCATTGCCCAACTTGCCGCCAAATCGGTTAGGCCACCACTTCTCTTTCTGTCCTGGCACATCTACCTACACTCTACACTCTTATCCCACCAATCAAAACTTCTGACTTATTTATATTCCACTTCTCAAAAGGTCTTTCCTTTATGGCGAGTTTAGTGTGGCGTAATCACATTTGTTCATCTTAACCCCTTGCTTTCATTTGGTTGATCCGACCGACTCGGGCCTCCTGTCCAGATCTGCCTCATGGGCCCGTAGATCTGTTTCTTATCATTTTAGTCGACCCATTTCACCCTGTTCTAGTCCGTGTGTAAGTTTTACTTCTGACGCTATTTCTCAAGCCTTTATAAGCGTGTACACCGTTGCCTCACCGAACAGAGCGCCTAGGTTCTGATTCCCATACTTGCAGTTATTAGGTATTGCCATCATGGATCGTCTTCTTGATTAAACCAATGCATCCTAAGCGGACTGTGAACGTCTATCCCTGGCCACCTGCTGCCTCTCGGGTGGATTTCTAGTCAAATTGGCAATAATGCCGAATCTCCGTGGCAGTTGTGAGCACCGGTCTCCCTGATCATGTAGTCGTGTGGTCGCAGTCTCCTTTCGTTGTATAGAAGTTGTTTGACCTTGTTTTCACCTTTGATGTTTCTTGGTACGTATGGCGATTTTTCGCTCTGTTTCGTCAATATATTGCTGTTTGCAGACCCAGCACGTTATGCAGTAAACTCCCAAATGATCTAACTTGTCCACACTCTCATGTTTAGTCGGTAGATTTATGAAGAGAGTTGCTTATTCTTTTGTGGTCACATGATTATTCCATTTCCTTAGTATTGGCCGTCGTTTTGTGGTTAGTTCGCTGGACGGTAGGCGCAACCACTTTTGTGAGTCTTTCTCCGTCTGCACTCTAATTTCATAATCGCCATCCTGCCGTCAGCTCTTTACGGCCCGTGTGTTGCTTTGTATAACTTATCTTTGGTAACAGTTTCCGAAGAATATCCAAATCCATTTGTCTAATTCTTCATCCCACAATTCCACGTCGGTCAATCGCAGGACGTTCTCATCATTATTCTTATCTTTAGCCTGTACGTGTCATGGGACTGGAAATAGGGTATTATTCCGACATGATTTTTTTTCTTAATAATTTCCTCCTGAGTGTTCCAGTAGAGCGAATGATTTCAACATCCAGAAAAGGTAAACGCTCCTCCTTCTTTACTTTCATTATGAATTTGATTCTTTCATCAATCTGGTCTATAAGCTCCCATGACACCGCATGAGCACTCCTGGTTGCTGCGGTAACATCTAGAAGTTCTCTTCTTATTTGTTCATTTATACGTTTGTAAAAGCAGGTAATGGCGGCAATGCCATAGGAATACTTGAATCATGTTTGGGCTTGTGCTATTGTCTTTTGTGTGCGTGTAATGCTCATGTCATGTGAAGTATGATATTATAAACTAGACCCGAGGTTAATCCGGCCTTCTTCTCTTACTCAGGAGAGCTTCCTGCACCCGAAGTCTCGTAGACTACGATGCTCTCTCTCCCTTTCCTTAAGTCTATCCAACAGCCACAAATAGTTTCTCTCAGGTGTGAAGACCAAGATGGTGTGGCCTTTTGTGTGGTCGCAGTCTCCTTTCGTTGTATAGAAGTTGTTTGAC